GATTACAACCGGGTAAGCTTATTTTGCTAGAGAGGCTCAAGAACAAAATTTCCTTTATCACTTCAAAACATGCATATCAATCAAGAATTATCAACAAGAGTCAAGCCAAGGCATATGTGCAAGCAATCAAGAGTTATATCACACACAAGAAAGAACATCAAAGGGCTCAAATTCTCCCACAGGGTATTTCTGTCACAATCAAACCAACCTCTCGAGCATCATAATCATTTTTCGATTCAGAGAAAAGCAAGGATTTCAAACCATAAGTATCAATGAAGTGAAGGACAAGCCTACAACCTGAACAAAATCCAGAAATCAAGAGAAACATGCAAAACTGTACACATACACAAGCTTAAAACAAAACAAAAGAAACCTATAACAAGAAAAATCTAAACAAACAAAAGCCTAAACAAAGAAAAATCTCCCCCAATAAATAGACCACACTTTAACTACACACTGTCCTCAATTTGTCATAAGCATAAGATCAGCAATCAGAAGAGTCAACAAATCATGGACAAGTGCAATAAAAGTGGGCAAGGGAGAAAGGAAAAGAAAACTCCCCTAAGTCATGGTGGAAGATGCCAAATTTGAACTAGCAGAGAAATATTTTCCACCATTGGATCCAAGAAGGAAGTTTTGAGGAACTGCTTCATCTGCCAAATCTGATTGAGCATGGAAATGTCTTCCACAGTTGGATCTAAGAAGGAAGGGTTGTTGAAGAGCGGGTTCAGCCGGTGCTTATTGGTCTTCAACCTTTTGTGTATGCATGCACCTTTGTTTTCAACTGTGGGTGTTTTTTGGTCAAATTCATGTGCACCTCCTGCAATAGGGTTAGTGCAATATGGCTCCAAAGAATTGATATGCAGAGGTATAACACCCAATCCCAATGTATTAGACTGAACATTAGAAATACTCTCAGAACATGAATCACTTATAGATTTAGAAGCAATATCAACAATAACAGACTCAGATTCATGTTCAATGCATGGATATGCAGTATTTAGATAGGATGGCAAAAAGTGGTTCTCATCATGGAGAGAGTTAAAATTACAAGCATACTCATCAACAATATAATCATTAATAACATACCTATCAACAACATGATCATCAACAACAGAATCAATCTTAGGTATGTTTACCTTATCTTCCCTGTAGGTTTTTTGAATAGGAGACATCAACAAATCATAACTACTAATGGAAGATGAAGATGGTCTACCTGGCTCAAAAGTGTTGCTCATACATGCCTGATCCTCAAAATCTTTATCAATATCTTCATCAACCTCCTTAGGTGCAAGAGTAGTGACATATGAATGTGGGAAAGTAGGTGGCACAAGAAACACATGACTTTGGTTCCCATTTCCTATGTTTATGGCACTGACATCTTCCGGAATCTGAACAGTCTGAAATGGTAATCGCTCGGAATGTTGAGACTGTTCGTGAGTGAACTGAGTGGCCATCTGCCCCATCTGATTGGTCAAACTTTAAATTGACGCTTTGGTCTCTTGTTGGAACTGAATGTTCTGCATGGTCATTTGCTTCAACAACTCTCCAATGTAGGCTCAGAAGTAGAAGGTTGAGAAGCTATTTTGGTAGGAGCATCATGTTGTTGATTCTGCTATTACTGGACTGGTGGAGGCATACAAGTATTCTAAGATGGGACTTCTTGATATTGATGTTGCTGTGGAGTACCATACCATCCCAGGTTAGGATCATTCCATCCAGGATTAGTGCTATGACCATACTGATAAAAATGATGCTGAGCAGGGAAGCATTCATCTAAGAATAGTCGCTTAAGATCTTCCCAAGCAGTGATGGATCTTGGAGGTAGACAATAAAGCCAATCCTTTGCTACTTCCTTTAGTGAATGCGGAAATTCCCTTAAGAAAATGTGATCATCTTGGACATGTGGAGGTCTCATTGTAGAGCAAATGATAAGGAACTCCTCCAAATGTTTATGTGGGCATTCACCTGCAAAACCATGAAACTTAGGCAACAAATGTATCAGTCCAGTGTTGAGAACGCAATGAGCATTATCCTTAGTAGGTGGAACCGCCTCCCAAACAACACTCTCATGATTTGGAGGATGAGCCATATTGTTCTCAGCATGGAAATCATCACAATAGAAATCAGAATCAAAAGTAGAATTAGATGCAGAAAGGGAATCATAATCAGAGGGACTGGCAGAATAAGAACTATGCACATAACTAAAATGGGTAGACATGTAGAAGGAAGGGGGAAGGTAGAAGGGAAATGCTCAAAATTATGAAAAAAATAAAACACAACATACGCAACACGCACACACAAAAGCCCACACATAACACACACTAACACAACAAAGAACCAAAGACCGAACTGTCGATCCCCAACAACGGCGCCAAAATTTGATCGAGGTCGTACCCGACTCAAATTAATATGCAATTAAATGCAGTATAAACTAGGTAGTGACTCCTTGGTCGTCTCTCAAGGACCAACTTACTCTGTCAAAGGTTCATACACGAATTGGGGGGCTTGTGAAGATTTGTGCTAAATAAAATTAAATCAACAAGAACTACAAATTACACAGTTATTAAAAATGGTTGGTTACTAGCTCAATTGCAATGCTTCCAATCACAAATTAGCAACAATAAACACTACTTTAACTCCTAATCCAACACAAGTTAACCAACTAAGCGAAGACTAACCATGTTTTCATAATTGCATACTAAGCAAATGCAATGCACAAGTTCAATCAATTCTGCACCATGCAGTCCAATCAACTAAGCGAAGATTAAAGACTGATTAGGCAACTAAGCGTATGCCCAATCGCAAGCACAAAACATATTGAATGTTGAGTCAAATCAGAGTAGCCTAAACAACTTTCAACTCATAAATCTCATGGAACAATGCAATTTTGCTAATGACCAACTAAGCACACTTATGCTAACATTAAAACGAAATTAACACAACCAAACATAATTGAAAACATTTAGGCCGAACGGTATTATTAGTGATGCCGAACTGTACTAACAATAACCAAACGGTTCTAACAGTGCAGTGTGTTAGAAGCTGAATGGTACAAAGTAGTAAAGCCGGTATGAGGGAGAGGAAAGAAAAGTAGGAAGGAAAAACTAGAAACCGAACGGAATGAAAGTGAACCGAACTATACTAAAGTGAAACCGAACGGTTCTAATTTTGTAGTGTGTTAGAAGCCGAACGGTACAAAGTAGTAAAGCCGGTATGAGGGAGAGCAAAGAAAAGCATGAAGGAAAAGCTAGAAACTGAACACAATGAAAGTGAACCGAACTATACTATAGTGAATTCGGACTGTACCAAAAAGGACCGAACGTTTCTAACAACGAAGTGTGTAAGAAGTCGTTCGATACAAGGAAGTAAAGCCGGTGTAAGGGAGAAAAGAAAAACCGGACGGAAGAGTTAAAATCGGACGTAATAGTAGTTAAACTGAATGGTACAAATTATCAGTAAGGGAATGAAAATGAGCAAGAGAATGGAAACTAGAATGAAAAACTGAGTTGCAATTAAGTCGAACGAGTTCATACAGGAGAAAGTCGAATGATATTACAGTAATAAAAAGCTAATTAGATCAAAATGAAAACACTACAACACATCAGAAACAAGAAAACAAACGAGAACAAGCCGAATAGGGTGAACAGTGACTGAACAATATTACAGTCAATGTAGTAAAAGGAACAACTTGGCTAAAACGCAGAATGAAAACCCAAAGCGAAAAACAATATTGGACGGAAATGCACAACGAAAATCAAAGCTGGAATGCAAAAATCAAATGGCAAACGGAGTAGAACATGAATTCAACGATGGAATGGAAATGGAAGCTGGAAAGTGAAGCAAGAAATGAAACTAGAATCTAAAATGAAAGCGAGAAATGAAATTGAAATTGCAATTCAAAACGTAAATCATTCATTACAAGAAAGGGAAAGAGAACAAAACCTAAAACCCCCAAAAAGGGGGAAGAAGAAGAACACCCAATTCTCCTCAAAACCTAAGAAGAAGAACGTCCAAATGAGATGGAGGAAGAAAGTGAAATTTTATTTGGGGTTTATAGCCCCCAAATTACGAAAATGCCCTTAGTATGGGCTTCTCCTAAAATTGACCTAAAATGGGTCCAAAGTCATAAAGTTTGACCCAAAACTAAAATAATTAAAACTACAAAATGAAATTAAACACAATTTTTGATGTGGTCACACCTTGTTGTCCCAAAATATGTTTCCAAAATTTTCTTGCAAATAATAATTAGAATAATTAAGCCCAAATAATTTAAACTAATTAAAATAAGAATTATTAGTCAAATTAAACCCAAATAGTGAAAATGAGACAATAATGGAGAATTAGACATAATTCACTAACACAATTTGGTGCGAAAAGTTAAGTGAATAGTACAAAATAATGACTCATCACCTTGAATAGGCCTCAACCACTTTATAAAGTTAAATGTACATTGAAATGAGTCCTAAGGAACTTATTAAAATCAGTTATGTGTACACAACAAATAAATTATTAAAAAACTTATGACATTAGTGTACTTTTAATTATCAAAGTGTGAGGTTTTTTGTGCAGTGAACACGAGAGAACCATAAGAAACTGTTGAGGAAGAATTAGTAACAATTGTCGGTGACCCCTACAGATTCAAACAATAAGTGTTAAATAACATTTACATAAATAGAATTTTATTAATAAAAATTATATACTTACTGTAGCAAATAAGGTGCTAAGTACACTTACTTTTTTCCGTTTTCAGAAGCCTCTAATGGGTACTTTTGGACCTCTTCACCTTTACACCCAACTCCTTGAATGGCAACAGGGTCAATAAAACCATAAATTTGATCATTCTTCCTTTCAATGCTCAATCGATGTAAATACCTTAAACATTGAAAATGAATAATGTTAGAATATAATATTGAATATATTTAAACTTCATTATTGTAGAAATTTACTTACAACAACCAAAGTTGTAGTATTGATATACATAACATATCAATGCCAGAAAGAATTTCAAAAATATGCCTCTGACATATGAAGAAAGAGAGCGAAGATGTTCTATTTGTGACTTCAAGAGGCATTTGTAACTCTATAGGAGAAAGGGAGATCTTCACTGCCAACACACCAAGTTGGTCCAGAATTGTTTGATGTGGCGGTTGTTGTAGCAATTCATTCATCCTGCCCTTGTGCTTCTGTAACATCCCAAAAATATAGCACATAACTATATACAGGTGTCAACATTTAATAATATGATAGAACAGTTACTACAATAATAAAGTCCAACTTACAGTTATTACAAAAATAACCATAAAATTTTTGAACTTTACAAGAGCTTCCTATACTACTACCGAAATAACCGAACGATTATATTTACAGAACAAAATAGTGAACGGTCGGTTCACCAAAACTATCTACACTATATGACCGAACAATCATCTCCTATTCAGCAGGAGTCTCACCGTCCAGCTCCTGTTCCAACGTAAGTTCTTCTCCTTCTGCTCACATCCAACAAGGATGATCATTGCAATAGAAAACCGAACGACAACATGGATAAAAACAGAAAATAAGGGTAAGCTACTATAATTCAATTGAGCATGCATCCATACATGTAATAAAACTATAAATCATTACAAACCGAACGCTACAGCATACAAGAGCCAACGGAAATATCATACATAACTTGAATATCATGATTCATTGCACAACTGACACTTGACTTGACCATCCGGATTGTATGAATACGTAGCTTGAGGCCGTTCGTGCACTCGGGTGGTGTAGTAACTGGAAAACCATCAGCTGCCACCTGAGGTTAGTCCGTTATAACTCACCCAAGAACCTATGGGCTAGGACCTCCTGCTATTCTCAGACAATGACTTACCCATCTCTACTTGAGAACTGGTAATCATCAGAATATCATGATGAACTCCATGAATTTTACTATCCGTATTCATACTTTACCACAACATTATCCTTACACTTAGACATTCCTCCCCGGAATTCTCTTCCACATTACTTGAAACATAAACTTTTACTTGAATACCAATAATATTTCCCATACATAATAGATCATTGTTGTAATAAGCAACCAGCACCAAGCCATAACATCACCATTTAAAGATCAAAAAACATTTTACATAAGAAGACCGAACGCTCAAATAACACCACCCTTAATTACAACCAAATGGAAAGGATCAAAACAATAGACGAATATGACCGAACGTTTATTTAATAGTTAGAACTTTGACATGAGTCGAACACATTTTTAAGAATAGAACACTCTAATCAAACCAAATACTTAATATAAGACCGAATCATAGTTAACTATCCTCCACACAAGAATGAACGTATTTCACTATTCTCAACGCAATAACGAACGCTATTTCATTATCTGATAAAACCGAAGCCTTAGAGCTTATACTTAACACTTATAACTATTGACCCTTGGTGTAAGACCGAACGATATTTCACTATTTGACAAAACCGAACGTCTAGAGCTTATACCGAACACTTATGATTACTCCTACAAACTATTCATCAAACCTAGTACTTTTAAGGAAACCGAACGTTAGGACATTTTAGCTGAAATACACATAAACTTGTATCTGATCATAAACGAACGTATTTTAAGCCTAGTCTAAGTATAAAGTCTACTAATAATAATATATGAGCTATCACAAACCAAAATACCTAATCCAATAAAACTAATTATAAAGGTATATAACCATCAACACTTGAAATATTAATCACTTCCTATGAACCGAACGGTGATACACTGGTAAGGCTAAAATGATAACTCTATTGATAACTTATTAACTGAACATGACCGAACGGTTGAGACCGAACATCCAACTTTTCTGCATAATTTTTGCAAAATCCTTATAGACTTATACAGAACCACCAACAACCCAGAAACATACATTTCATACACTCATATACAAATCATCAATCAACTCATTCCATACATACACAACATCATCACATGCATAATTAAATTTAATAGCTTCCCTTACCTCTTAACAAACCGATCGCTCACAATACAAACTTTGCACCACGACCAACACTCAAACGCTAAGATTCACTGTTTAAAGAAACGAACCAACCCAAAGACCGAAAATATGATCAGATTTGAAGAAAAAGAAGAAGACAACTACATGCAACCAGAAACTAAACTTGCACGTACCCAAAAACTAGATTTTCTTAGAAGTAAAAGAACCTACCACTTCAAACCACTAAACGATCGGTTGAAAGGAGGATCCTTGCCACCAACAACCTTACATACACTCTGATGGATGATCAGATGGAAGAAAATGTGAGAATTAATGGAGGAAAAGATGATAATTTTAGAGAGAAGTTAGAGAGAAGGAGGAGAAACGAGTTCAGAAGGTTTGGAGGAGAAGATTGCATGCAGAAAATGGAACCAGCTTTTAAAATTTTAGATTATATATTCCCTCAGCAAACCGATCGTCCACTCTCCTGCAGCCACCTGTCTTCCACTTCCTGAGTCTCATTCCCCTCTTGTAGATACACGTTTCCCACTAAGATGGGGAATTTAATGGTTCTGACAGCTTCAACCTGGTTTACATATTTAAAAACTTACAAAAGATTAGTATTACCGATAAAAACAACAAAGTGCGTAATTAAAACAATTACTTCCTTTACAATTGCTCTTGATAATTTAACGGGCCAAAGGATAAAATTTCCAGGGACCTATCCCATTGTCTAAACCTCCTGAGTGGGCACAAGGACTCGAGCTGTAGCATCTCGTACGTCTACAACCACCACCCTCATCATATCATCTGTAATGGTTTCATGGTATATAGTTGACCCTAATGTATACATTTTACCCAAGTTATCCAAATAATATTTGTAAAATATATCAAGGAATATAATTTAATAAACAAGTCCATATAGACAATGTAATAAGATAAATTACCTAATGCCACCAAGCAATGTAGGGCATCATCACTAAACAACTCGTAGTCTGCATCAATAATGAGAGAAGCGTTTTGAGGTTAATCACATATGGGAGATCATATGGTTTTAATATAGGGACTTACAATGTGCCTAGTTATGCTTGTTGTTTCTTCAGATGTGTACTCCCCAGATAGTCTTTGGCAAGCTCTCTTCCATGTAACATGTTTGGAGTTAAAGGGCTGTGGCTGTATATTTGGAGGGAAAGTAGAAGGCAACTCATCAACTTTAGTAGATATTGAAGAGCCCTGAGACTTGTTCACAACTCCAAATATCACAACGGTTATTTTTTCCTATACGCATCGGTTCTGCAATCGAGGTATATACAAGCGAGGTAAAAAGTCTACCACTTTTTGCCTCGGTTCAGAACCGAGGCAAAAAGGAGAACCAAGGAAAAAGGTGTATGCTTTTGCCTCGGTTCAAATGCAACCGAGGTAGTAGAGGGTGTTCCTTTTTTACCTTTTTTTTTGCCAGACTTTTGGCCTCAGTTGTTGGTGAACTAAGGCAGTAGAGGGGTGTCTTGTGTCTCAATTTAGAGTTGAACCGAGGTAGTAAAAGGGTTTTTTTCTTTCAGATATCATTCTACAAAGTTGTTGGAAACTTCCTCGACGGTTAACTTTTACATGTTTTTCACACACATTCTACAGTTTCAACACGAGGCAGAAACCAAATACACGTTTTATGTATCTATTCTATGATTTTAGCTTCCTGTAGGAAGTCCAAAGGAAATAACAGTATATCTCTGCTCCACCAAAAGACCACTATATCTTCTAAGGGATATATTCTGGAGTGAAAAATTAAGATCATGACCTTTTCAATTGCAACCATTTTGTTAAATCTTTCGATCTTGAAAATAAAATCAATTGAATTCTCTGTTTCAAAAGAAAAAGAAAAAGAAAAAGAAGAAAACCATAGATAAAAACAAGTGGGTTTAGTGGGTCTAGTCCAATAGTAGACTTTCAACAGATTTAGCCAAAAAATCCATAGTCATCAAAGCAAAAAAAAAAACTATAAAAGATTAAACTGCATATAACATAAACCACACATTTACCTTAATTTATCTCAGACTCAGGCGATTTATCTCATGAAAGTCTTTTCAAATTTGAACTTTGATCACCCAAATCTACACAAGCACATTTTAATCAGAATTACAGAACAAAAAACCTAAAAACAAGAGATTACTCACAATACAAAAATATAAAAAAACCTTCATAAGTATATCTAGATTGGATTTTCACTCAAGAACATGCTTCTCAATCTTACTTTGTCTCTCACATGAAGCCTGTGAATTAGAAGGAATTTAAATCTAGGACGGCTAGGTACAACACTGTTAAGCAGGTGTCAATTTCTTCACTTCCATTCAAATATATATCAATTAAACTCGGGAAAAACCCTCAATCTCTTCTCTCAATTAGGAAAGGAAATAAATTCACCCAATTGCTCTAAAATGGAAATAAAAGTGTCTCACTACTAGACAAATCAAATAGGAAAAAACATCTGCATAAGAAGTGAAATTAATAAAAGAAATAGGAAAGAAAATGCTGAATTAATGCAATGGTGATGGGATCTATGGCGGAACGGAAAGCTTGAGAATTAGAAGGCATTTAACTTTAGGACGGCTAGGTACAACACTATTAAGCAGGTGTCAATTTCTTCACTTCCATTCAAATATATATCAATTAAACTCGGGAAAAATCTTCAATCTCTTCTCTCAATTAGGAAATGTAATAAATTCACCCAATTGCTCTAAATTGGAAATAAAAGTGTCTCACTACTAGACAAATCAAACAGGAAAAAACATCTGCATAAGAAGTGAAATTAATAAAAGAAACATGAAAGAAAATGCTAAATTAATGCAATGGTGATGGGATCTATGCCGGAACGGAAAGCTTGAGCCCAACCTTGTGTGAACTGCGTGGCCGTGACGGAACCACCACGGCTCCTAGGCGCTACGGTCGGACGAATTCAAGGGAGGTGGAATGCTGACCATTGGACTTGTTTAGATTCATTGAGACGTATTTGGTGCCAGAATTGGTCGCCATCGCAAACCAAGTATGAATCACCAAAGCATGAAAACCTTGCCCCAGATTGTTTTGGCCAAATTTGTTGATGATCAAATTCGAACCCTGACCCTAATCAAGTTATTATACAACAAAAAAATTATCCAAATGATTGGAAAGACCAAAAAAAGGAAAGAAAATGGATAACAACTGAAGCAATATAGATCTAAGATTTTTCACCATGCAACACTAAAATTGGGGATGGGGATCTGGATTAGAACCCTAGGAGCGGTTATCGAGAAGCTGCTTCACTCCCAACGGCCACTGCTTGCTCTTTACTCCAGAGGCGACGCACTCGCAGGCAAGGTGGAAGTCGCGCTTGCAGCCGTCGCACACGACGAGGTGGTGGTGGCTCTCGGCGGTGACAGGGCAGGGCTTAGAGCAGGCAGCGCAAGGAGCGAGGTCACTGCTTTGAAGGGTAGTGGGGGCTCCCGGCGGTGGCCTGGGGTTCTCGTGATAAGTGAGGACGACGTCGGTGACGGAGTCTGGTAGGGTTTCGGTGATCAAGGAGGAAGGCAAAGGGATCTCGTTAAGGTCGATTCCAAGGCCTGAGCGGGCGTCCTGGTGGTGGTTGCTGTGTTGTGGCTTCAGCAGAAGCGCTTTAAGGTTGAAGCGTAGAGAAGAGAGAGAAACAAGAAAAAGAAAATGGAAATGGGAGATGGGAGAGGAAGACGCTCATGCACGAGAAAATATCAAGAGATACTGACTTGGTTATCTGCTTAACCGATGCCTAAAGTGTTTGAAAAAAATAAAAAATTTAATGGGGACACATAGGATTTTGCAGGCTTTTATGCCTCGACTCCCCTTAAACTGAGGCCTATAAGGTTATTTTGCCTCGGTTCCCCTTGAACCGAGGCCTATAAAATCATTGAAATTACAAAAATGTTATCGCGTTTTCTTATGCTTCGGTTGTGTGAAAACCGAAGCGCATATTAGAATCCTGGTTTTGCACTAGTGTATTATCTGCAATTTTCAGTTCAAGAAATTCTCTTTCTATAAGAATACATTTCTATAAGAAAATGAAATACTCCTGTATGCTTAATGTCTCAAAATTATTATGTTGTTTTATCACTTACTAATGCCATGAGTAGAAATGCCCTCTATATTCCATTGATTAATACATGGTTTACCTTAGAAAAAACAAATAAAATAAATTCGAGCATGTCTTACAAAAAGAGCCTAATAAAGTCACCATATATTTAAAGTTACGAAAAGAGCATGGCTTATCATCATATTTTGTGTACTGTTAAGAAATCACTTATAAGTTTCTTAAATAGGACTTTTAATATTATTATAAAATCAAACAATTTAGAACATATACCAATGTTAAATTATATGACAATATAAAAAGTATATTATTTAGACTTAGACTTTAGCAATTATCAATATGGAGGAGAAAGTTTAAAAAGACAATTACTAGTATTTTTAAAGTAAATTTATGGAACAACGTTATTGTCTAAGTAATATTTGGGACCAAAACTATTATCATTGTAATTTCATTATAATTTGAGAAATGGTATCATAACACACTTTTACATTCATTTGACACAAAATATAAAGGTAAAATAGTCATACAAGTGTAAAATTTTGTATTTTTTCAAAAAAAGGAGAAAAAATAGGTAAGGATAGTATCAAATGAATGTAAAAAAACTACAAAAAATAAGGGCATTACCAAAGGCTACAATCCTTCGGTAACTGCCAAAAACCGTCGGTAATGAGCTGTTTCCGAAGGCTTATCGATGGCTAAAGCATCGTCGGTAATTCTCTTGTCGCTAACATTTACCGAGGGCTTCTGCCCTTCGGTAATTATCGAGGGGCAAAAGCCTCCGGTAACGGTAATTACCGAAGGCCTAAAGCCCTCGGTTATTACCGAAGGGTAGAAGCCCTCGGTACAGGCTTCGGTAAAAACCATGCAGAAGTTACTGATGTTTGTATTTGTTATCCAACCACACAAACGTGCATAATATGTTCACAGCATAGACAAACTTGTATAACATTTTCAAACCACAGACAGACCTCCATAATATACAAAAACATCCAATCATTAATGAAGTAAACAACCATATAATAACATCATTTGTATTTGAAAATCAAACATTAAACATAAAACAATATGTTCATCTAGCAAATGTAATGCAACAAAATCCTAATGTAAAATAAAAAATGGTCTAACAACTATGTTCATTAACAAAATAAAACTAAAAATCTACATAGTCATCATCAGAATGATCCTCATCATCCTGTTGCTCTGTAGATGGCTGGATTGATGTGCGCTGGACTAGTGTGGGCCAGACTGGTGTGGGCTGGACTGATGTGGGCTGTTGAGGAACAGCGGGTGATGGAGAGGGTCGTGGTTGGGTCGGAGGGACAGTGGAATGAATGTCTGAAGTATCAGGCAGCGCTTTCATGAGCAGTGACTTGAAGTTTGTAAACTCGGTTCTCAAGTCAATGTAATTTTCTCTCAATTCAAGATTTTCCTGGTCACGTTGTTGTAGTAGCTGTGTCAAGCGCTCGATGGTGTCTTCAGCAGTAGTAGTGGAAGAAGAAGGTTGGTGCTTTAGAGTACCTTTTCTTGATGTTGTATAGTTTGCACAAAAGTATTGAAAATTTACCATACGAATGGCATGCTCATGAACCGTGATCGACCCACCAGTATGCAAGGTGCCACCCTTTTCAGAAGCTTTGTTACTCTGGGCTGTAGCACACTTATTGCGAAACTCTACTGAATTCCAATGAGCGAGTAAAGAGTTCCAAATGTGCTCGCCCAACCAGTAAGGGTGCTCCCCTACATTGCGGGCATCCCTAAACATCTCTGACAGCCGATAAGATGCTTTCATGTGGAAATTTCTTTGTATTTGAGTTTCATGTTCAGGTTTCCACTGCACCTTCATCTTTTACATTAAACAAAATAAACATTGATTAATGAACATACTAAAATAAGAATGACAATTAGTTTAATGGGTTGTTCACCTGAAAACGCTGCCAGAATGACTTTCTGTCGTCGTTAGGTATTGCTCTCCAAGTAGGCCATGGACTTAAAAACTGTTGCTTAATTGATCGTGCGATGACCTAGGAAGCAACCCTGGATGGAATAAACCTGCATATAAAGAAATAAAAGGCATTTGAAGTAAGACAAACTTTAAACATCAAAATGGTTAAAAAAGGGATTAAAGTCTTACCCTTTACCATCTGGCTCAATCCATGGTCGATCATGGAGAGGCGGGTCAACACCATCACCATCATTAGCTGAATCTGGATCAGCAGATGGTGTGGTAGTCTCAAAAGGCGGTATAAAAGATGAGGAAGGTATAGAAGTAGGGTCAGGGGAAGCAGTAGGGGTAATAATCATAGGGGGAGGAGTGGGGGTAATAATCATAGGAGGAGGAGTGAGGGTAGGAGGAGGAAGAATGTTTGCTGCAAGGTGATGGAATCCTGCCTGATGTGTTTTCTCAGTGTCTTCTTTTTGTAGTTTTCACATTTTATTGTGCATGTATTTTAGCTTGTAAGGAGCATGGGTTACTGTAAATACCTAGCTCCTCTCTGTATTAGCACTTTTGAGATTAATGAGAATTGAGTTTTCTGAATTAGAAACTATTCTCTCTTGAAAGTCATAGGCTAGAGAGTCCAAAGGACTCCTTTGCCACCTTCCAAGCACCTCTCTCACTTTCGTTTTCCATTCCACACGTGCGTCAACACCTCTTGGCCACGCGTCAGCGTTCCTTTCCTCCACCTCTTCATTCGCTGCCACATCTTCAGCGCTTCAACCACACCACACTGCACCTTGCGCGTCTTCATTTTTTTGTGTTTCTTCTTTCACGAGAACATTTCTCTCTCGAGCCCTCGTCGCCAGCCATTGTTCTTCACGGTGAGTCTTCTATCCTCACAGATTCACTTCGTCATTCTCGTTTCTCCCTCACCACAGCCTCTTCCCACCATTTGTTCATATTTTGACCGTTTAAACACCTCTCTTCACATCGCTTTCCATTTTCCACCGATTGAACCCTCTTTTACTTCGACCTAACCCTTTTCCACCGGTCAATCTTGAGTTTGAACCGATTAATCGGTTCATTTTGAGTTTTCCTTCTTTTTTCTGGTTCGTTCATGATTTTAGGGTTTTCTGCAATTCGATTTGATTCTCTCAGGTGTTTCCTTCCAGTCACTCTCAATTTAGAGCTTCGTTTACTTTCCGCTGCGTTCATCTCTGGAGGAAGCTTCGAAGGAGCTCGCGACACGCACATTCGTCATCTCCTTGGACGCTCGTCCATCACAAGGGTAGGAGGAGGGTGTACTGAAGGGGTAGGAGGAGGGTATACTACAGGGGTAGGAGGAGTTGTACGTCTAGGGTAGGAGAAGGGCCGACAGATGATGGACTGGGGGCAACAGTCATAGGTAGTGTAGCAGGCACCTTAAGTACATACTTTGGTGCCTGTCGTTGCCTCTTTTTAGGACTTGCTACCCCCACTAGTGGAAAAATGACATTTTATAACGTACAAAATGACTTTTTATAACGTAGTTACTGGGGACATAGTTCTGGGCGATATAGTAAGTCTGCCGCATTTTATAACGTAGCAGAAAATTATGTTATAATATGTGACATATTATATCATAGTTCTAAAGTCCGTCATAATATGCGCAATTATTATGACAAATTTTCATTTGTGCGTTATAAAGGGGGGGAGGTAGAAGGAAGAGAGAAGTTTGGGGACGTTATAATATAGGATCTAATACGGATATAGTGCATTACAAAGGGAACTAATAACTGGACAGGTGAGTACGCAAATATGTTTTTTCAAAAAAAAATTGATATTACATTTGGACCCAATAAAATTATAATAATACATCAATCAATAAATCAATATAACTTCAAATAAACAAATTTAAAATGATATTAACAAAATAGCAATCATTTCAAACATTAACTATCTAATAATTTAATACCATTATATATGAAACTATAATTAAATCCAAATATGTACATTAAGTACATACACTATTGAATTGTAGCCAAATTCTACTAACACTTAAAATAAAGTCTACAAATAAAAATATAGAATTAAAATTGTAATGAAACACATATGAAAAATGCATTTAAACCAGCAACTGAATACAACATCTT